TTTAAAAAGTGGTGGATAAGGGCAGGAAGAAGCACCATACAGACAATGGAAAATGCCTGTCTTTACAGGAGAGACAAGTAAGTAGGTAAAATATGCAATCAGCTTTCACCACTTCGCTTTTTTCATTTTATGCCTTTTAGCTGTGATGCTCAGCACTGTGTTTGTGGAAGTTTATACACTGACAAATTCTGGTTGCTACCTTAAGAGTGTTTATTCCTCACAGAAACTCATTTCACATCTCATCAGTTACAGCAATGAGATGGGGGAACCGATTTCTTGTTTCTCTGAGGTGTGTGCATGCTGGGCGGACGGCACAGCCGCAGCCCCAGCTGAATCGGGTTATGGCCTGAGTTCCCTCACACCTTCTCTGGGCTGGGTGATTACCAGGGTTAGAGCCCCCCTCTCTGAGCAGCTCTGGGCATTTCCAAAGATATGCACTGCAATGGAAAACATGCTTTTAATGCATTCATTTCCATGTATTGCTTTGTCTCTCCCTTGCCCTAAGCCCTGTGACATAACTCGATATCACTTATGGTAGACAGTGCTTGAGATGTTTTGAGACGCTGCCAGCACTTGGCCTGTTTGGTTTGCAGGGTTCGTGACACTATGTGGTAAGTCACGAGTATTGTCCATAAGCTCTGGTCTCAAGCAAACACATAAGCTGTGGAAAACCACAGAGCATCACAAAACTCCTGCAAAGAAAGCACCCCACCCATAAAACTGTTTACTCAAGTTATGAGCCCGTTTACTTATGGAAACTGCCGAGTATTTTGGTGAAGTTATGGCAAACTTCCAGGCCATAAAAAAGACCCGAGATCTCATTATTAGCATTTCCCAGGGCAATAAAGAAAAAGATACCCCTTACCGTGACATTCTCATTTTCTCATTTTCCCTGCTGTTGCATTATTTCTTAGAATTGGACATGATAGGAAAGAGCTGCACAGTCTGTTCAGGGAACTGGAGCAGCACTCGCAGCTTGGGGAAATTAAAGGCTACACGTGATAGTTATTAGTCCTGCGACACCAGGAGGGAGCGTTTGGTGATGAGTACAGTGTGATCCTTTGAATAGGAACTAAGGGGGAAACGAAAAAACATTAAGAGCATAAGGAGAAGATAACCTTGAAATCTCTCTGGACTAGAAACCTCTCTCTGAACAAACACTCCGGACACTTGTGTCCCTGCAGCTGCCAGCACGCAGCTACTCCAGCACTGTGAGAAAAAGCCAAAAAGGAACCTAACACTTCTGGAAAATTGCCTGCCTGTCTTTCCCATCCAGAAATACAGGGTAGCTCAGAAATGCCAGAGAACTTTAAAGTGATTTCCAGTCAAATTTTTACCACTGGGGACAAGCGTATCCATGTGCAGGACAAGTAGCTCTGATGGGTCAAGGAGCTCAGGAGATGAACTCCAGGATAGCAGTCAGGTAAAATTATCCTGGCAAGAGAAGCGGTCTGGAGTCTGCAGGACTCGTTTTCAGCTGCTACAAATGCCTTCTTTGCTCCACCATCTTATATTTCCTTCTGGTGTGTTTTGCAAATAAATCAAAGTAATTGAGAGTTGCATTTAAATCTGGCCTACTTTTTCCTGCAGCAGAAGGCAGAGATTTTTTAACCAAATTAACAGCGCTGGGGATTTAATAAAGTGTGAAGCTCTGTCCTTCGTTATGCAACTAAAGGATTTTTGGTTAAGGCTACTGGGTTTCAAACTGGCTTCATAAAGAGTAAAGCAGCTCCATGGTTCTAAAACTGGCCTGTCAAGAAGCCCTTCCTCAGGCTTTTAAATAAAATTAGAGTTAAGTGTCGAAGGAGAATAAAACGTAAAACTGATTAGCTGTGCATGGCTAATGATAATAATAATAATAATAAAGTGGAAAATATTTTGGACCAAAATTAATGGACACATCTTTACTATGTCATACATGAATTTATCTGCATGGCTTCCACTCATGTTAATGGGAGTCACTTGGCTAAATTTCTGCTCAGTGAGCTATTAACTCATCCCTAAGGGATTTAGTTTAAATTTGAACTTACAAACGCCATTTAATGGTAAAGCTGAAACACTGTCTTGAATTCATACAATTTTCAGAGAACAAAGGAGTAGTGAATTAAATTAGCAGTGATGTACTAGTGTGAATATTTAATTTCCTGAATTTAGTGATTAGTTCTGGGGAGAGATATGCCATGACATCCTGGTTCTGACCAACACCTGATTAATGCAATATCCTGGTGTCCCAGCATCAGATGCTCCCGAACACCTGAATAAAAATAAGTGCTTGATAACATGTTTATAATCAGGAGGGTTTTTTTGTAGATACTGTCAACAGTTGGCTTATGTTCTGATGTGGATGTGACCAAGGATTCTCAAGTTTACATTTTACTTTTAATTCTCTCAGAATCCTGCTGACTTATGCACCACATATATTTAAGAGTTGAAAAAAAAAGTCAAATTACTTTTTATAATTTTAAATTAGTTCCTTTTCAATCTCTCTCAGACTCTGCTTGTACTTTTCTTAAGGAAAAGACTATTTAGGAAGACCTATTTTTCCTTTAGGTACTATTTCCTATTTTCTGTCTTTCACTGTGTGTTCTCTTGTTCCCATTTTTTTCAAAATGAAATTATCCAAAACTATGAGTCCACTTGCTTTACAAATGTTTTTGATGTCTATCTTCTTCTATATCTCTCTTGATGTATGTTTTCTGCTTCTACATACCTTTTCTATTCTTGCTTTTATCCTTCTAACCACCAATAGGTAAAACTCAGTATAAGCACCCCACCAATTTACCCAGGCCATAATAAATATTTGCTCTGTTATTCCCTATTCACCTCCATTCCTGCAGAAGGCTGTTACTTGGGTTTTTTGCCCATCACCACTGCACTGAGCAACTGTTTTCCTGAAGCTCTTCATGGCAATTCACTACTTGCCCCTCACATACCCGGTGTTATATGAACAAACAGTTAAGACTGCTTTTTCTAATGCTTGCTGCTTTTCTAAACTGTAGTTTTAAGTAGTCACACAGACGTAAAATCCCTTGAAATCCCCTGCAGCCTTCTCTGCTGTAGAAGTATGCTATCTCCTGTGCTAGCTGTCATTTTTGCCACCTCACTGTTCACCTCCTTCCAGATTGATCATACATGAAATAACACTGAATCCGCATATGGAGGGCACCCACAGATAGCCACTTCCTATGTCGAAAATTGCTCATCTCTACCACCTTTGCCCTTTATCTCTTAACCAGCTTCTAATCCATGTCTGATCTTGTCTGGTCAACTGTTCGCTCTCTGAAGAAGGTTCCAGGTCTTCTAGCATTCCTGTACAATGTTGTGGTGCTGTATAATATTTATTCATACATAAGGCATTCCAAATTCATTTTATCAGCTCATAGTCATCTAGGTATTTTAAACCTATTAATTTTTTTCCAATTAACTTTTCTACCACTGATATGCTTTCCGCTCTGTAATTACCAAGGTCATCCCCTGCATCTTGTTTAAAATTAGATAAAATATTAACTATTCTCTAGTTCTAGCTGATGTGGAGTATGCTGTGTTCTGCAGCTAATTGTGAGAAAAAATCTCTTACCTTGGAAAAGGGTAACCACACTGCTCACAGCAAGGCAAAGGTCTGACCTTCAACAGCTGTCTGCTATAGCAGACCTAGGGTCTCCCATATTAAAGCCTTCATGGTATGAGCTCACATCATATTCAGATTTGAAGTCCATGAAGTTGATTTTCACTTGAGACTTATGCCAAGTGACAAATGAGGCTCTTATAAGAGATATGTGTCAGACATTAAGTCAGCATGGCATGCACCTACCTACTTTCATACAGTTCAGAGGATAATACCAAGTACTAGTACAACTGGATAGTACCAATACTGATTTAGAGGCAAGAATATAAAATGCTCTTTCCTTGTTTTTGTCCTCTCTAAATGTGTTCTGAATAAAATTAAAAATAAATAATGGACTTTGTTCTTATGCAAAAATGTTGCCTTCCTAAAAAATTGCTGAGTGGGAAAAAAGCTAAGGCTGAAAGATTCAGCTGCTTCCTTCAGGTAATAAATCTGGAAGGGAAGAGAGTTTAGAAGTGATTTAATTGTAATTTCCAAGCATGGTCATACGTTTTAAATATATAGTACAAAACAAAAGGAAGTGTAGTCAAATCTCTCAAGGAACACATGTCTCTGAGTTACTAAAAATAATATTTCCAGTGGTATGCACATTCACATGGTATCAGTCCTTCACTGGAGAAAAATCAGTCCAATGTTAGCATTATTCTTGCAACAAGCTTAACTAGGATGCTGTGGTAGCTTCCATCCAGAGAGGTACAAAAGGTCTCTCGTGTTTCTTCTAAATTAACTTACCCATAAACAGCTGTTAACACCACTTTCTAACACACATATAACCTCCTTCCACTCTGCTCATTCACCACTTTCAAATGCAAATTGCTGGGCAATGCTGTGGCATTAAAGACAATAATATTAAAATTATTAAAATCAGGCCTTACTGCAGATTGACTATGTGTGTGTGTGTGTGTGTGTGTGTGTGTGTCTGTATGGATTACTGCAGTGGAAGTTATGAATGGGGCTTCATGAGGTACGAAGCTGGTATCTAGCATGGTCAGCACGAGCAATGCCATTATCTAGTCCAGGCTCCACTCCAAGGCTACCTGACCCACCTGGAAGCCTAAGCAGATCCTTCACCTCAGGAAGAGTGGTGGCCACAGGAGGCATTCACTTGAACACTCCAGTCTCTCTCAAATGACAGTATCTTCGCCTATGACACTTCATTGTAGTCAGTGATTTTTGCCCATTGATTTCTGACCTGTAGATCTAACTTGCTAATCAATATCAGCATGTTAATATCAGCATGTTAATATAACATGATATAGCATGATCAGTATAACATGATAATCAATATAAGCAGCCCTGAGAAAAGTCTTTAGAATCCACATAAGCAATAAATACTCAAAAGAAGTACCAAAGAAAAGAAAAATAATGAAAATACCTCATGATATTTTTTCACTGTTTTCCCTGACATGCACATGCAGGATTTCCAGTTTGAAGTACCACAGCCACAGTTTCCTCCACAGCGCTGGACAAGAAGGCAGCGGGGGAAGAAAACTACATTTGTCAGCTTCAGTTCTTCCCTTAAATTGACAGAGTAGTTTCTTGGAGTGCAGCTATAACGTTTCACATCATCATTCAACCTGTTCAGGTCAACTGCAATGCAAAAGAAGTTTCATTAGTCAGGTTTGAGTGGGACATTCCTCTGGTTTATACCGTTCCCCAGACAGTCAATAACACAAAGTGATGTGTCACTGCTTGGAAAATATGTGAAGTACAGCAGCGATTTCTGAACAGATAAACATAAACCCATCAATTTTAAATCATTACAGGTGGCCATCCAGGCTCTCATCCCGCTCCCATGGACTCTCTTAGCAGAGCCCACACTGACTACAAATGTGAAGGGAAGGCTTGCTGTAAAATATTGAGCTGAAAGCTGAAGACTGGTTATTTTATTTGCTTTGTCACCGATGAATCCTTGGGTAAGAGATTCCACCTCTGGTATTCTCTTCCCTCCTCTGCTTATACCTGGCTTACTTAGATGATGAGCTCTTTTTTGTTATTATGGGCATAACTCCTTTTGCCCAACTGCGGGCATACAAAAGGCAAACACTTCAAACAAGGCTTTTCCTGTGGTCAGTAGAGAAATGTCTTTGGGGAATGGTTCATCCCTTCCTTGAAGCAGCATTTAAGACAGGTGGCATGACTTGCTTTCTCAAGTTGCTTGTCTGTATTGTTTATGGATAGAGTCTGGATAACTCTCTTTTAGATGGAGAAATCAATTTAAGCAATATTAATTTCAGCTGGTAAATGCTACAATAATAGGCATATAAATAAATACAATTAAAACTAATGAGCTTCATTGAATGCCAGTAGTTGCTTGATATTTAAATGCCTGGTGTCTCTGTGAGATGTGTCACGTAAACAAGTAGTAAAGCCAACCATAAAAATAACTTATAGACTGTCAACCGTGAGTTTATGTGCTGTTTCTAGCTTTAGCAAGTAAAGACAAATCAAAACAAAAAAACCCTTCCACAAATACATTTTTCACAATTGTAACACAGATAACAGTAACAAATTTAATGAGTTTTATTTCTATAGAAGTTTTCTGATTTCTTTTTCCCTCCTTTTCTGCTTTATTCTTTTTCTTAGGATTCAGTCCACCAACTAAGTGTTCAAAAGCTCAATAATTCATTCATTCACCTGGAGGACATGTGAACTTGTGCTGAATTCCCACACCAAACAGTATTTTATAATAGAAACATCAACAGGACAATAGGAATGGCTTAAATGCGAACTGAAATAACAGTGTAGCATTTGTGAACCTATCAGATTTTCATGGACATGTTTAATAGCTCAACACCATCTCTGGTTCTGAGTGCATCTATGCTTGTGCTTTACTAAAAACATGTGAAAACATCCAACAAAGACATTTCATACCTTTTGTGGCTCAGTTCTTGTAAATTGTGGAAAAAGCTGCGATTTGTAAATACCATGCAGCTTTACATTCTGCCCTGGAGATATTCACAAGGAAGATATGCAAGAGGCAAGAGTACGTAAATGTCACGAGTGGTATTATAGAAAATCATAGCAGTTCAACTTTTCTGGCAAGGTGTTATCTCAGTCAATGGGAATTTAGCAGATAAATTGTGATTTTATAGCAATTGTGATACAACTCGGCATGAAATCTCAGTGGTTCTCTCCAGAGAGCTAGCATCTCTCCAGAAGAGGTATAGATCATCCTCCTGATAGAAGCACAAAATCAATGGGGCTGCTGGTATACTCATGCAGTGGGAGAAAAATGTCCCACTCCCAATGTCCACAGCCAGGACTTAGAAGTCCAGAGAATATTGATTTCTTTGTTTAACAGATGGTATTTTCTTCTCCACTGTCATTCTCCAAAGCCACCCCTTGTCATTGCAGGCTCTCAGGCTAATTCTTCTCACAGGGAAGTGTTTCCCACTTCTCTAAATGTTTTTAATCAGGACCTTTGCCATCAGCTTTGCTTACCGATGAAGCAAAGAGGTATCCAGCTACTATTCATCTCAGCTGACTGATGTGAAGGAAAAATTAACCAAAGGAAGAAAAGAGCAGAAAATATTCTGCCTTCAGGATTAATGAGATTTCTTAAGGGGAAAGCCTGGATCTTCCATACTCTGGCACTGCAGCAATGCCAGGGAGTGGATACTGACATGAACAGGCTACTATTGGGACAGGCTGGCCGTGGACCAGCATGGCATTTGCTAATGGTACATCTCTAGACAGAGTTAGAATAAAATGCTCGAAGGCTTAATTCAGCCTTAATTCAGTTGAGGTGACATAGGACACAAGGCTTCCAGTAACAAACTGGTCATTAAAGAGGGCCCAGACCCAGGAAACATGAACAGACATCTGTGTCCAGAAGATGATGTCCGGAAGATTGAACAAAATCTACTCTATGACAGATGAAATTTTCCCTCAGGCTCAACAGTCCTCATCGTGCACTGAGTCAATACCTATTATCACTGCTGCATAATCAACACAGAAATGAGTCTTTGTAACGAGACTGGCAGAGAGGGAAAGCACCGGCATTTAAAGGACCGGAGCAGGGGGGCTTTCCTGCAGAGAGCACATTATATCCATCACAGCATTACACATATTAGCATCACTACTTAAGCTGCTCAATTTAAATGGCAAGGGGTGACCTGGCAAAGCACTTTCACTGGAGGGAAGGCTTTGCTCACCAGCCTTCAAAAGCCTAGTTTTGATGACTTTCAGAAGTCTTTGCAGGGTCTCTTAGGCTGTGGCTGAGTCAGTACTGTAGAGAGCTGTTGACTTGCTCGAAGCATAGGAGGGAATAACCAGATATGTAGGATAATTTTTTTCACTGTGTAGTATGAAGGAATCAGTTGTTTACAAAGAAGGCTCAAAACTTTTTCTGGATGCATTCTTCAGGAATTCTGAAATCAATTAGCAGCAAAATACATTTTATTTAGTTTATTTTTTGATGAAGTCCTATATTTGAAAAACCTACGGGAAATTTTTCAATGGAAAATTGCATGAATTCTTCTTGGTATCATACTCAAGGCATTCTGATCCTGACTTATTAGCAGTTTTTGGGACCTCAAATCCCAGAGCTATCAGTTAAGATGTGAATTTTCTGCACTTTGCCATATCTCAGGTATCCCAGTCCAGGTTGAAGTGGACAAATACAACAGCAGTGAAGTCTTCTTTTAGTGCTGCTGAAATCATGAAAGTAAGTAACTTCAAGCAGAGAAGGAAAAACTAAATAAAGGGTTTAAGAGATACACAAATCAATCTCCATAAAAATTCATCTGGAGGTAAACACCCACACTCTTTTGGACTCTGCTCTATAGAAATCCAGTGTGTGACAGGATAAGGTGAGTGTGCAATGTCTTCTGTGAACAGTGTGTGCTGTACTCTGGTAGAATCCCACTGAAACCCAAGAAGAGTTTCCATTGCCTAATTAGCTTTAGACCGTGGTTTGCAGCCCCCTAACAAAAGAACACATTTTGCTCTGAACAACTCTGCTGAAAGCTTCGATATGCATTTTTCCCTGTCTTGGGATTGTTTTACTGTCTGGAGTCAGTCCATTTCCTCATCCATATAACAATGAGATTTTACAGTACAGTCAGTTTCATGCATCACTTCACTGCTGTGACTAAAATGTAACCAAGCCTTGGTGTGATTGGTGTGAAATCCTGCTGCTTTACTTATCAAGGACTGAAACCACTGGAGTCCTTAATTTAAAACTAGAACTAAAAGGTTCTGTAGACTGGATGCAAATAACTTCAAAGTATTATTACAGAATGACTGCATCAGAGATTCAATTTAAAGGCAAGGCAGACATAAAAAGATGCAGTGGAGCAGTAAGCTGGATACTTGGGTACAGTGTTTGCCTCCTCCTCCCCCTGAAATCCTATGCTTAAATCCATTGTCATTTCACATAGCACTAAGCCGTGTGCTTACCTTGAAACATTGATCTTAATCAGAGGTAAGAAGTGAAATTGGAGGCTACAGCTAATACCACATCTTATTCAGGTGGTGCCGCCTTGAAGATTGGAGAGGCAAGAAAACTTATGCTGCTGGTCACTGATTAATTTTAAAAAGACAGGTGGTCTGTTAGGGTTCCTTTTAACTCTTTATCTGTTCCAAATTTATACATGGCCCTAGCATTGTCATATCTGAATATTTTACACTTTTTTTCATGCATCAGCCACAGACTGGAGCTGAGTTGTAAGAGGTGGTAGTCACCTTTCCACAGTATTCCTACACCACATGCCAAGGCCATGTACAAGCAAAGCAAGAAGGATTCAGGCAGTTGCAGACCAGACAGCCTAGCCTCAGACCATGGTAAGATGAAGGAGCAAATCTATTTGGAAGAAACATCCAGGCATATGAAAGACAAGAGGGTTACTGGGAACAACCAGCATAGATTTAGCAAGGGAAAATTGTGACTGACCAACATGCTCTCTGCAATGAAGAGACGACTGCCTTGCTGGATGAGGTGAAAGCAGCAGAGGCATCTGCTGATTTTTTACAGTGATCCATGGCACCCTTGCAACCAAACTGATGAGCTATAATGGGATAGATGGACTACAAATGGGGTAGATGATAACCAGAAGGTCCAAGGGGTTTGAACAAAGTGATCAGCCATTCCAAGTACAACTGGTGGCTGGTTACTATCTGTATTCCCCAGGGGTAATGCTGGGTTCAATACTGCTAAAGATCTCCACTGATGACCTGAATGATGGAATGGTGCAAACCCTTAGCATGTTTATCAGTGACAACAAATTGTGGAAAGCTGTCCATGTGCTGCAGGGCTGCCTGTCAGAAGTCCCTCAGCAGACTGCAGAAATGTGCTAGCAAAAACATCATGAGGTTCAGTGATGACAAATGGGAATTTCTTCACCTGACATGTATCAGCCCAGATAAGCAGGGTTCAGTCCTAGTTTGATTCTCATCCCTTTTCATGTACGGCTTACAGTTTGTGACAATGGTTGTGCTGTTTTCATTTTGACTCTTGGCTTTAAAAAATTCCCCCTGTAGCGCGTGGAATGTATGAATGTAGACCTATGAATGTATTCCACCTTCTATCTCCAGCATTCATGCTCCACTAGCATGAAGGTGCATGCCAGGGCTGTGTCAGGTAGCGT